ACCTCTGAGAGCAAATAAATGAATTTGAACTTGCACAGATTCTTTTTTTTAGAATAACATTTACAAAGAGGCTAATGAATAAGCGTTTGGTAACTTCGTTTTATGAAGCCTAATAATGATTTGGTTTTGTGAATACAATACTCTATATTTAAATTGAAACGTAGTTTACTGCCCAAAATAACTCCAAGATCAATAAACGAATCTACATTTTGCAATTTGTGCGAATCTGTACAATGACAATTTTTTTTTATTTTTTTTTAGGTTTAATGACATACCATTAACACTACACATATTTGCAACAGAGTACAAATCATGTTGCAGATTTATTTATATATTTATTCATGGTAATTTCAAAGTCCGAAGACCACATTGAAGAAATTAACAATCTACATTTCGACGCCTCCGAACCATAGTATGCTAAGTCGACTTAGCATGTTTTAAAGTTCTTTACGTTTTTAGATACTACGGTCCTTAATTTAAATTCACTGAAATTTTGGTAATCATCGGTCAATCCAAACCAAATAAGCATTATAAGCAAAAATGTACTTAACATGGCACGCACGATTAAAGAAACTTCCATACTTTGAAAGCTTCTACTGAAAAACTCACTTTTCAGACTTAGCATACTATGGTTCCGAGGCGTCGATTTTAAAATTGACTTATTAATATGAAATATAATATATCGTCAGCTAAAATGCAAAAAGGCGTAACTAACAAAAAATTGAAAATTGACTTTTTGAATGAATATTGTGAATGTCAATAAACTACATGTGTTGACAAAGTTTTACACGTCTGCGGTCAAAAAAGGAGCTTCTATTAACAAAAAACAAAAAGACGTAACTACAAGTGGGTTTATTTGATAAATGCAGAAAGGCGTAACTAACAAAAAATTCACATTTTTACTTAATTGTTATGACTGCCATTAAACTAAATAACTAAATTTGTTAAAAAAATATAGTCTATTATTCGTCATATGCAATATCATCCTGCCGGGCATACTTTTTCATTTCACATGACATTCATTCAAAACAGTTTTTTGCTTCTCCTTATGCTTTTGTTAGATACGCCTATTTGCATTTTAGCTAACGATATGTATTCAAAGATAAATTAAAAAAGTAATGTATTAAATAAACACGACAATAAAACCGGACAATAAATAATAACCCATCTACATTTCACTAATTATAAGAACGAAAACTAGCAAAAGTAGCAAAAAATCTGTCTCCAGACTAAAATTCTACTCGAAAGTCGAGCAGAAGCAGTACTTCAGCAGAATAAAAGTATATATAATTTAACATGGACTCAGAGTATACTAAACATAAGATCATGACATAAAATAAGTACAAAAATGTATATAAAAAAAGTTACTTGAACATTGGTATAAAGAAAAATATATTAAACATTAAATTATATATATATATATATAATTATTATTAAATAAAAATGAAAATATAATTAATTTCGAATAAAATCCACTCAAAAAATTGATTGATTGTAAGAATTAAGATTGCATAAAAGTTAACATCATCAGCAAACATTAATACGTTGAAGCAACGAATATCAGATGGAACACCACCTTGAGGAACACCAGAATATACAGATATATTTGTAGATAGGATATCATTAAAAGATACTCTTTGGGTTCGGTTCTCTAAGTGAGAACGAATCCATGACAGAAGTATTAATGGAAAACCCATGTACAGCAACTCATGTACACCAGTTTGACATTTATTTAGAAACCCATTATGAACGTGACAAGTAAGTTGTAATAAGTTTGTCAAGGTCGATCTACCCTTGATGAAACTGAATAAGTTTTGGAACTGCTCTTAGTTTTGCAATACCTCTATTATTTTCAATTGCACATCTGTTATCACGCAAGGAAATAATAAAATAAATAGTCAATGATACATTGAAGATAATTGTAGTGTCGATAAAGTTCGTACGCACATGATTTTAAAATAGAAGACGGCACACCATCTGGGCTTGGTGAGTTGGAGCTTTTCAATGACTACAAGCCTTTTAGCTTTTCATAATCTGTGAAACTAATGCAAGGGAATTGATTAAGTTTATGAATACTATGTTAAATTTTCTGTTGCTAGATCAAAATATACAATTGAATCCCGAAAGTTGTATAATCTTTACCTTAACAAGATTAAGGATAATTTTAAATCCAATCCAAAGTCATTTTATGAATTTGTTAATCTAAAAAGAAAAGTTTCTTCTAAGCCTACAATTTTAAAATGCAATAACCAAGAATTTTCAAAAAACTCCGAAATTGCATTTTTTTTTGCCACGACTTATTCTAATACTACCTATCAGATTAAAGATCCATATCCTTATGAACTATCAAATATTTACGCCCTTCTTACAAAGTCAAGAGGTCTCTAAAAATCTACGTAGTTTAAAACCTATTAAATGTCCAGGCCCTCATGGTATACCCAGCATAATTCTAAAGAATTTTTCAGATACATTAGCATTACCACTAACGATATTATTTAATTATTCCCTTAAATATGGTTATGTTCCTACTTGTTGGAAGAAGTCATATATAATACCCTTACACAAGTCTGGTAGTCTAACAAATGTCTCGAATTATAGAGGAATTGCAAAATTAAGTGCTATTCTAAAATTGTTCGAAAAGTTAATTACTACTATAATTTCACACAAAATTCAACCCTTGTTAAGTCCATATCAACATGGTTTTTGTAGTGGTCTTTCAACTATTACCAATCTCATACACTTTACTTCTACTATGATAAAGGGATTTGTTCAGCGTAAACAAACCGATAAATACCTTGAGATTTCCTAATTTCTTCTATTAGAATAAGTTCCTGTCCGATCTAGTATACACTATCAACTGTTATATGTAGACTTCCACCGCACGAATTACTCTATGGGAGATCCTCTTAGTAAAATGTGTATTGACTTTAACTCTGTATACTCTAATGTAGATTTTTGCTTGAGCGTAGAATAAATAAAATCTAATATTATTGTATTTTTAAATGAGCAGTAAAACTTACAAACTGGCTGTTGAAGTAGATTCTGTAGCTGGTTTTCTATTCCACTCTCAAATCCCATCATGATACGGATCATGGTGTGTACGCGATCACTACCTAAGGGGAGGTCGCCCCCTCGGTTGGCGGGGGTGGGAAAGAGAGGCGTCAAAAAAGGTATTATAGGAGTAATTAACGTAGTTAATTACAGATATATTTCCAGAATACGTAGTTAAAAAAATCTGGAAATATATCTGCAAAATTCATTATGAAATAAATAACAATTTATGGATAGGGATTTTTTTTTCAATTTTTGCTTGGACAAAACTACAGCAACTTTTCAGTATAAATTGGTATTGGTTTCTATCTATCGTATAATTTTCAAAAGGATTTTATTAGAGTAACATGTTTCTGTTTTTAATTTTGACTTGCTGTTATTTATAAAAATTGCTAGAAGCAATACAGCGGACCGATAATAAAATATTTAAATCGAACTTAAAGTATGCCATATAAAAGTTTTAAAAAATCAAAGATTGTAAAATAAAAAAAACAAAATATGAAGCTTGTAAGCCAAAACTGTTTAAATGTGCCACCTCTCCCCTATATATGGGAATATTAGAAAATGTTTTAAATTTCTTGAAGTTGCGGTTTGCAAGCTTATAACTCATGAAATATATAAAAAAATGGTTAAAAATGCTTTGATCGTTTTAAAAAAGTTCGCTATATATGTAGTTCGTTATAAGAGATTTGTGTTAAAAATATGTCTTAAAAATTCGGGGCCAAGAAGTTGGTTAGCTATAAGGAAATTTCGTTATAACGTGTGTTTTTAAAAAAGTTCGCTGTATATATGATATTTTCTTTTATGAGATTTTTGTTAAAAATGCCAATTTTTAACATAGCTGAAGCCGAGTTTCACTAATTTATAACACGAAAATTATTAAAGTATATGAGTTAGCTATAAGGAAATTTCGTTATAACGTGTGTTTTGTATAAGCGTACTCGACTGTATTATATTTCCACGGCCTACCAAAATGATGAGTACGTCCCTTAGGTATCGTTTTTCGAATCTTTATCTGCATTTTTTTAATTCTGCTTCTAGTTTCAATGCGCAATCAGGAATTTCCAAACATCAATTATAGGATTGTTGTACACGCCAATCTATGTAATTAGATATATATTTTGGTATATAATATGCACAGCTTCATAGTAATATCCATCCAAAGTTGAACATTTTGTGCCGCCAAATTTCTAAAAAAACTATTTTCCGTTGAAATTTTTATATCTGTTATTTGATTCGTATTGTACCTGCGATCAGTAAGCCGGCGGCCTGCCAAAATCACGAAATTTGGCAAAAACTGTTTTTGGAAATATCGCGAAACCGGACACACATTTTGACCTTTTGCGAAATCAAAGCATAAATGAACTAAATAAATAAAATCATAAAATTTTGCGCAATATACAGGGATTGGAAGTTAACCTTTACTACTTTCTGGAAACCGAATGCGCATCAAATTAAACGAGGATTACGCGATTTAGACGCTATTTCAAATGTATAATATTTTTTTAATAAATAATATATTTTTAGTTTAGGATTATTTCCTATTTATTGAACCACACAATTTATTTGAAGGGCATTGATATAATCCGTACGATGTATACATGTACCTAATAAGTTATTATATTTAAATATGTAAATTTTTCGCTGAAATTCATAGCAGAATAACTTCAATATTTTTTTTTTTAATTTATTGCATAAAATTAATAAATAAATACGATGGCCAAAATAAAAAAGTGGATTTTTTGAAAAAGGAATATTAAAAAATTTGCAATATTGCCCATTTATACATATATATTTATGTTTCAAATGGAAAATAAAAATATAGGAATTTAATTCTAGAAGTAAAGGCATATTGTGTAATGTTCAATTCGTATTTCAAAACATTGTACAAATTCTTAATATTTGATTCTGTTTTATAAAATTATATTCAATATTTATTTACACCACAGATGAAGGAGAAGGACACGTGGGTACTGTTTGCGAAATCGGAAGATTGGGATCTGTACATTCGCCAGAAAATACAGTGGTTGTTAATTGGGATTCTGGCCATAGAACCAACTATCGTGTTGGATATCAGAATCAATATGATTTAATAATAGTAGATAATGCCCAAGTTGGTAAGATTAAAATACTTCAGCCATGTTATGAATATTTGTCAGAACTATCGTTTTCTTTTCAGGCGTACGTCATCCCAATGTTGTATGTGAGGGTTGTACTAAGGGAGGCATAGCCGGTATTGTTTTCAAATGTGAACAGTGCGCCAATTACTATTTGTGTTCGAGTTGTTATGGAGCCGATTTACATGATAAAGGGCACGCCTTTATAAGGTATACGACACCTACATCATTAGGGTAAGTATTATATATATATATATATATCGGAGAGAAGGACACCTTTGAATAGCGTCCATAAAATCTCGGTTAAAATTTTTTCCAACCCGCTACCAATTCTATGGCAATGTTGATCTCTAGCAGCGAAACAACTTTAGCTAGCTTTTTCAGTTGTCGACAAAATGTAGATGATTGAACATGTTTTCACAGTGCCATTGTAAATTTTTAATTTTTTTGTTGTGGGGGCGCTGGAAGATTTCAAACATAACTAATGTATTTTCTTTCATATATAGCATTTCCAGATTAAATGAAACCTTTTACAAATTAAATGAAACCTTTTCCAAATTTAATGAAACCTTTTCCAAATTAAATGAAACCTTTTCCACTTGAAACGAAACCTTTTCCAAATTAAATGAAACCTTTTACAAATAGAATAAAACTTTTTCCAAATTAAATGAAACCTTTATTCTTATCCAAGGAAATATAATATTTCCAGTAATTTTAAATCAATATTTGAAAATTAAATCAAAGAATATTACCAACTACAGTTGTATGGCTATGTAATTAACATAAATATTCTTTAATTCGGTGTGATTTTATTTTATATCTTTACTAAATAAAACTAAAAAATAGTAATACAAACTGGGGTATTTCTTGACATTTATTGACAAGGTAACTTTTATTTTTAAAAATGCTTTTTCAATGTTATGATTGGTCACACAGCTCTAGCTCTTGTACATTGCCATTGGAGAATAAGGCGGTAAGAATTTAAGGTTGCATCTTTTGGATTCGATCAAATTTTTTATGTCATGTCGCTTGTGTATTTGAGCGTTATCCATTATCAAGAACGAATTTTCCAACTCTGGATTGATTTCCTCCAAAAGACTTTCTATAAATACTTTAAATCTGTCTGCATTGACACTGGAATTAGAAATGATTGTGTGATTGGGGTAACCCCAATATTCATTGATCGTTATTGGGGTATCCATTTTGTAAAGTCTTGAGCATATTTTTGTCTCAAGCCTAATGTTCTGGAGTCATTCATTCGTTCTATTTCACTAGAGGCCATCTTCAACGTAATTTTTAATTTCCGTAATCCATTTTCTATGGAGCTTGTGGAAATATTTATATCATTTTCTCTCAACAGTTTAGTTTTTATGGCTTTGAGGGTAATTTAAGGTTGACTTTCTATAACGCGATCAGACTTAAAACTTGTGGTGTCAAAAATTTAGTTATATTTCCTCCACGCTTATTTTCCTTCCAGAATTTCTTTTTGTATCTTCTTATTAATGCTTGTGCTGAATTTATTTTTATGCAGGTTAAATTTGCAGTCTCGGAAATTGTTCTACACTCTTCATACAATTTACGTAATAAAAATTGCATGTCTTTTATTATTTTGTTATACTGACCCAATTTGTTTCGGGGTCTTGTAGATGTAGCTTCGGTAGGTTCTGGAGCATTTCCATTTGCAATACTTGGCGAGGTTATAGATTCTCCTTCAGATTCCCAATTATCAGAGGTTCCCGAGCTAAAATCAGGTTAGCTCATAATTATTTAATTGTGTATGGCTACATATACAAAACACTACTAAATGAATGACTACAGAACATTAGGCTTGAGACAAAAATATGCTCAAGACTTTACAAAATGGATACCCCAACAACGATCAATGAATATTGGGGATACCCCAATCACACAATCATTTCTAATTCCAGTGTCAATGCAGACAAATTTAAATTATTTATAGAAAGTCTTTTGGAGGAAATCAATCCAGAGTTGGAAAATTCGTTCTTGATAATGGATAACGCTCAAATACACAAGCGACATGACATACAAAATTTGATCGAATCCAAAAGATGCAACCTTAAATTCTTACCGCCTTATTCTCCAATGGTAAATCCAATCGAAAAAGCATTTTAAAAAATAAAATTATGTACAAGAGCTGAGCTGTGTGACGTTTCAATGGAACATAACATTGTTGATGTAATCGAGCGAAGTATTCAACAGCTTACTCGGCAAGATAATTCTAACTACGTTATGGACATGCAAGTCGGGAACGTCTTCTTTAAGATAATCAGTTACCTTGTCAATAAATACCCCAGTTTGTATTACTATTTTTTTAGTTTTATTTAGTAAAGTAGTGTTTGGCGGGTTATTTGGGATACCATTTGTATTTTGTTTTTGTAAAATAGTCAGGCTTAATCCCATTTTGTTGTTTTTATAAAAAACAACTATTTATTAGTGGGGAATGTATGGTATTGTCCGCCGAGGGGTAAGGCAGGGAAGACTATAGTTTCGGATCTCGCCACTGATCCTCATCAGTTCCCTTAGTTTTTTGTTGGGTTATTCTCCCCAGAAGCTATTAATAGCTTCTTTACAAAAAACCTTTCAAACCCAAATGTCTCTTGTGACAATTCGAAGTTCTTACGTTACCAGCGATACGACACCAATGAGAAGTTCGTTTCGTTGGCGCCTGACTTCGTGGTCAACAAGGCATTTACAGACAACTACAATACATTTCCCACTGCTATGTGTCGTCACTTTGTGACGAATGCACATAACGTTGTTGTTGGTATTGCTAGTTAAAGCAATAAACCAAACAGTATGACCGTGCCTCGTCTACAACTTCAGTAGTGTTTGGCGGGTTATTTGGGATAACATTTGTATTTTGTTTTTGCAAAATAGTCAGGCTTAATCCCAGTTTGTTGTTTTTATAAAAAACAAATATTTATTAGTGGGGAATGTATGGCATTGTCCGCCGAGGGGTAAGGCAGGGAAGACTATAGTTTCGGATCTCGCCACTGATCCTCATCAGTTCCCTTAGTTTTTTGTTGGGATATTCTCCCCAGAAGCTATTAATAGCTTCTTTACAAAAAACCTTTCAAACCCAAATGTCTCTTGTGACAATTCGAAGTTCTTACGTTACCAGCGATACGACCCCAATGAGAAGTTCGTTTCGTTGGCGCCTGACTTCGTGGTCAACAAGGCATTTACAGACTATATAAAAACAACAAACTGGGATTAAGCGTGACTATTTTGCAAAAACAAAATACAAATGGTATCCCAAATAACCCGCCAAACACTACTGAAGTTGTAGACGAGGCACGGTCATACTGTTTGGTTTATTGCTTTAACTAGCAATACCAACAACAACGTTATGTGCATTCGTCACAAAGTGACGACACATAGCAGTGGGAAATGTATTGTAGTTGTCTGTAAATGCCTTGTTGACCACGAAGTCAGGCGCCAACGAAACGAACTTCTCATTGGGGTCGTATCGCTGGTAACGTAAGAACTTCGAATTGTCACAAGAGACATTTGGAGACATTTTTTTATAAAAACAACAAACTGGGATTAAGCCTGTTTATTTAGTAAAGATATTAAATGAAATCACACCGAATTAAGGAATATTTGTGTTAATTACATAGCCATACAACTATTGTTGGTAATATTCTTTGATTTAATTTTTAAATATTGATTTAAAATTACTGGAAATATTATATTTCCTTGGATAAGAATAAAGGTTTCATTTAATTTGGAAAATGTTTCATTTCAATTGGAAAAGGTTTCATTTAATTTGGAAAAGGTTTCATTTCAAGTGGAAAAGGTTTCATTTAATTTGGAAAAGGTTTCATTTTATTTGTAAAAGGTTTCATTTAATCTGGAAATGGTATATATGACCTACAAAAAACCTTTTCCACCACAAAATTGTCTTAATAAAATAAAATAAAACGAATTTAAATATATTTTACATGTGTGATTTATGTTTTTTATTCATGTTTTACAAAATAAAATTTAACAAAAAACATACAAATACTGATACGTTTTTATTTGACATTTTTTTATACATAAATACAATCAAATGATATGAGTGACGAGTAGACTTTCTATCGTCTTAGAGAAACAGGATGTTAAAATATTTAATATGTATATTCAGTGTAAAGGTTATATCTGTACCTATAAGTTAAATGAATAAAAACCCAAAAATTATAAAATAAAAAATTGTATAAAGCTTTAAATCAAAAAGTGTTGAAAGATGCCACCTCTCCCCTATATATATATATTAAATCTCGTTTTAGTGTACGTGTCCCTCCGCGAAAATGCAGCAACCGGATTCAATTAAAAGGAATATTCGTTGGTGCGAAGGTGGTGCGGGGCCCTGATTGGGAGTGGGGTCAACAAGATGGAGGTGAAGGTAATTATATATACAAAAATACATCTCCTAATAATACATACATTTATCGATACATTGACAAAACAGTCGGGATTTGTAGTAAAAAAGATATATAAATCTTATTTTTTTACAAAATCTCTTGACCAATAGGCTTGTCAGTAATAAACGTTGAACTTATTAATATTTTATAAGTCTAGTGATAGGATAGGGGAATATCGCCAACATTTTTCGACAGAAATGATATATATTAAGACATTTCCCGCTTTTTATACCGATTTTACCGACCATAAATATGAAAAATCAAGAACTGCGAGTATTTGAATATATAAGTTAACGGTTATTATAAAAGTGTTTATTTTGGTTGCTGTGGATGTTATAAACTAGAATTCATTCTTGTTTTGTTTTTGTTTTTTTATAACTTTTTTTCTTTTCATTTTTTCAAATATATTTATGCTGAACAAATTAGCGCTCGTAAAGCAGCGAGGACAATAGAAGATTGACCTCGAAGGCAGCATAAAATTAGTAGTTTTCAGTTGACTGCCGATTTTAATCAATTTTCGATATATCTATGGTATTGTAAGGTGCAAGGATCTGTCTGATGCTCTATGAGCATCACCGTTAATCTTTTAAGGTGCAAGGATTCAGCCGATTCACTCTATGAGCATCATAATTTTAAATTGTTTCATTCCTAGTCATGCGGACGTCATCCTCAGTAAGGAATCTTAAAAATCTTACTTATATTTCCTTATCTACGAGAAAGAGAAAAGATTTTAATGTTTAGAGGGAACAACTTAACCACAGGTCGTATTTCGAGATTTGTAAAACGATATCCGAAGGAGATTGGCTATTAATGGTGTCGATGTAGACAAATGAATTAAGCAAACGTGCATTCGTATAAAAGTTAAAAAAACATAATACATTTTAAAAACATAAGGTATTGCAATAATAATATGCCATGGATATTGCCCGTAAGGTGATTGAAATGAATATATAGGTGATTATTGGCCATTGTAGAATGTTTGAATCCCAAAACAAATTATTGTCTGTAAGACTATTAGAGGAGCAATTCTTCGAAATAAGCCGTCTGTATTAGCGGCGATTTTTTGGTAGTGCTCCAATCTGGATCAAGTACATGTCATGGATTAACCACACACTCTGTCAAAATGTCAATCGTGTTTAGACAATTACAAACCGTTAGGTTTTACGACGTAATTAATTACCTTATATCCTAGATGTCAAATATACCACCCATCGTATATGTGGTATTACCAATTTAGACTGATTACATATGAAATGTCGTAGACAGTTAATCAGACAACTAAAATTGTTACTGAGGAAGGTTTTGAAGGCGACAAACTTGTCTAAAATTAAAGCCCTATTAAATTTAGCAGCATTCGGAGAATGTGCAATATTACTAATATTATCTACAATTTCCTTGGTATCTATGCCTTTTATATCACGAAGGCATGTAAGAGTTTGAATTCTGTTCGTAAGAAAGGAATCCAAATCTTTCCACGTTGACAAAGCGGATTTATCTTTAACAGTTTGTTCCCACAACGTAACAGTGTATTTAGGAAGTCTTTGAAGGCAAATAAAAACTAAAATAGGGTCCCAGCTTACAGTTGAAATGTCGTAAATTGACATAGCAGAAATGCATCCATTTATTCCGCGTTGTAATTTTTTCAAATCGGAACTAGTTTCGGCTTCTATGACCGGAAGGTCAAAAAGAGACTTGATTTGGTTATTAACGAGAATACGGACGTTGTCATAAGTTTCTCTCAAGGCTTTCCATGCTAAATTAAAACTTATGAGTGAGTGGAAATTTGGAAACAATATCTCGCGCCTCACCGCTAGTTTTCATTACTAAATGACACAATTTTTTCTATGTCGCTAAGCCGAGCATTATTTATGCACACTGCGGAAAATAAATCTCTAAATGTAGGTCAAGATTGAAAATCACCTTTAAATATATCTATGTCACAATACTTTACTTTATACTATGAAGTAAAGTATTATTTAAGGATGGAGACGAAATCTCGACATAATTTCCTGTTTGGTGGGTAACACCTGTAAAGAGGTTAGGGTTCTCGGAAATGTTCGTCTTCTGCATAGCTCGAAGTTGATCTATTTTTCTATTTATTGATGACAACACGTGAACATAAGCTTTATAAGCGACATCGTACTTGCTGTCACCTGAAATCATGTCGTCCGAGCATGCGTCATCCGAAGTTTGAAGGTAACTCGCACAATGTTCATACCTGTTCTTCACTTTACTCCATAATTCTCTTGATTCAGATCCTTGTATTTCAAGGGAATACACATCTAAATCGTCATCCCGTGAGGAAGAGAAAATTGCATCAAATTTAATTAGAGCATCAGTGGCTCTGATAAAGAAATCTAAAGGAGTAAGCGGCATTTTATGTCAAATTTATATCAAAAATCAATTCAATAGAAATGTAAATGGACTGTATATTTTTATCTATGCACGGAATGCAAGTTTGTTTTATAATTTGATCGATTAGAAAACGTAAATTGTCTTTTAAAAACCGCGTAAACGAATCGATTTCGTAAAAAATCTAAAAATTTTAATATTTAAATTCAAAATTGAGCAGTAAACTCTTTTTTTAGTGTATCGAAATCTGCACGAACAATATATATTTAAATATAAAAAATACGCGAAATTATATAAAATACTATAAAATAATTAATTTTCAAAAATTTCTCTTAGTGTATCGTAAAACACGTATTTTTTCAGTGTATCGGAAATACAAAAGTGCAATAAAGTTATTTATTTTATTTAAAATATTTATTTTAATTTTTTTTTTCAATTATAAATTTAGTTTTTATACGACCCACCTTAATGTGATGCGTTGGTGGTTACTGACTACTCATGTAACGCACAACCAAGAATTGACTGCACTAATTAGTGTGGTTTTTGTTGTGTTGATGTTTGTTACTATTACAGCGGCAACGTGTATTTATTGTTGTTGCTTTTTCTTTTCTCTTTTGTGCGATCAACGTAGCTGATCACTGTTAACCAATTGTTTTTGTAAAAAACACTTATCACCACACTGATTTACACCACATTATTTCGCGAAAGGAAATGATGAGAGTCGCATGTAATGAATGTTATTAAAGATAAATGAAGTAAATTCTATCGGGTAACTATTGCTGTTGACAACCTTTTTTTTTTCTCGGTTTATTCGTTACTTTGTTGACAACCTTAGGTTAAGTTATTCAAATATGTGCAATGTAAAATATAACAAAACACTCACAGTAAGTTCGGTACGTACCTTTATGTGAATATGTGATAATTGATCACAGTGTTTTGTGTTTTGATGACGTAGCTCAATACCTTGTAGAAGGTTAGAGTTTGTTGTTGCAAAGTTTAAGTTCCTCGTAAAGGCAATAATGCGAATCGTATAATCCTGCTCGATCGGACCAAATGTTTAAATGGGGAATATGAAAATAAAAACCCAAATAAAATAAAACACAATTATATTAGAATTTGTCCAATAGAATATTGGCGTTGTATTGGCGTAAACAATATTACCTTTTTATTACAATTTGTGTTGGTATGATAGGTGCTAGCTCAGTGGACGAAATCCATCATGCGTAGTTTGACACTTTTTCTAGACTGACGCAAAGGCGCGTAAACAACAAAACGTCAGTGATTTGACTTTGACAACAGTACTTTGCGCCGAAAGCGCAAAGTTGCAATTTTAGATAGTATGACAAATAAATACAAATCTGAATAATATCCTTAATTAAACAGTATGTAAATAGAGATCATATGGTGCTGACAGTTATCCTTACCTGTAGTACATAGTATATCTAATTTGCAAAACAAATTTTAGAATTAGTGGAGTATAAAAAAGTTTAATGTTTTACCCTCATTTTTCTGGATTTGAGTTATGAAAATTGTGTTCTTCAAGGTATACAAAATTCAGCTGCGAATGTTTGCGTCTTAAGAGTTATTGAAAGTTTTTCGGGACCATCGTATTATATATTTATGATATATTTATGAAATGTTTAGCAACGAAGGTTCGAATATGCTATGTACATGAAGTTATTGAGGGTCAAATAGGAACGAGAGTGACGGATTCAAAAAAAAAAAAAAAAAGATTTGGCTTAAATATTTTACTTATTTAATGAATGATTTCGTTAGGAAAACAATCACCTAAATTTAGAGGACGCACGCGTATTACCTTTTGTGGAAAGTTCATACAGATACATTTAAGGTCATAGCGTTGAATATGAGCATTTCCGGCAAAAGGCAAACCAAAGTCGAAAATTTGTTTTCATTAATTGTATTTAAATACGTGAAGTGCCGGCAAACAATACATAGAAATACCACATTTATAAAAGCTTAATTCTGCATGTCAATGTAATAGTCGCACTTATTGAATTTATAATAGATACATTTTTTAATACTCGTAGTTCAGAACTGTTAGAATTAGAAATTCTGACAGATATCCGTGGATTTCGTGTGAGTTATCAAGTATAAAAAATAAATTAAAAAAAAAAACTTTTTCGAAAATATAAAAAGTCAGGGTCATCTATATAGACTACGCTAATTATTCTGTTGCTAGGTCCAAATATACCATAGAATCCTGTATGTTGTACAATAATTACCTCAACAAGATCAACCACAATTTTAAAACTAATCCGACGTAATTTTATGAGTTTGTTAACTTAAAAAGAAAAGTCTCCTAAATACTCACAACTTGGAAATGCAACTATAAGGAGTTTGTAAAAACTCCGAAATATCAGAATTGTTTGCCAATTTGCCAATTTTTTCGCCACTACTTATTTATATGCAGTTTGTCCAAATATAAGTTAAAATCCTTATGAACTATCCAAAATAGATCAAATATATATGCATTTTTTACTAAGTCAAGATGTTGCTTAAAATCTGGCAACGTCATGCCTGAGTAGTCGTGTTTTTTATTCGTCGCAGCTGATCACCCGCTAAATTTACTTTTTTCTATTGACTATCGGCTTTGATTATTATTTGCTCC